TCCCGTCACCGCGTTCGCGCTCAGAGCATATATCTAGAATACTACTAACACAGATCTAAAATCTATGATAGGCTTTGCTATACCGATAGTACAGTAAATTAAAGATACAGCTGTGTAACTTTAATGACTTCACTATATCAACATGTTATCATGGATATGCGTCGAGCGCGAGCGTAGTGGTGGTGGTGGGGGAGGGTGGAGAGAGGGGGCAGGTAGAGGGGGCTCTAATAGCAAAAGCAGTTCAGTCCTCTTGAGGGTCAAAAGGTTATCAGACACTTACTCTTCGCACGTCAGCGGAAAGTACATTTCATGGTCCTTTCAATAAAGTGATAAAAATGGTAGGTCAGCGCTGAAACAAAAAAGTTTTGCACTCGGTCCGTTAGACCATGTCCTCAGAAAATGTATATCTGACCTTTCCCCCACTGCCCGTTGACCTGTGACCTCCAATTTCACGATGGTGATGGGTTTCTGCCCCATCACACTATACATCGAATATTAAGAGCGTAGGTCGAGCCGTTTAGATTTGTGCCACAATTCCGTATTTCCTCCTATACCTTAAGTTAAGGGGGAAATGTTCCCCCTCCATTGACACATCTTGACCTTTGACCCTTAACCCCCCAAATTCGACATCCCGAGTCCTTTTCGCGAGCACCCCCCCCCCCGACGTCCCAAATATCAAGACCGTACGTCGAGCGGTTAAGATTTGTGCCATAACTGTTGACACACGGACGGACATTCATGCGATTCTACAAGCTGCATCTGACTTCGTCAGCTAAGCTAAACACCAACACGTAGCACAAATAAATCCACATTTCACACAAAAAATGTAAAAAATAAATGATGTTGCTATTCATTAACCTTTGACATTTCATGTTATGTTATTGCATGCAAACCTAGAGATTCTTGTATAACAGTATACTTCCTGCTACACAGGAAAAAAACACAGGAAATAGGTGTGCGCTAGCTCCAAGAAACGGTCTTGCTAGGGTTAGAAGACAACCAGTATAGACAATCAGTCGCACAGCCTCGTCGGGCTAGGTGTGTGCGTGCGTGTATACGAGCACGCATGTATTCAGGTACAGCATAATATATATCATAGAATCCAGACAACTTCTAATCTGAAGATTGCCGTGTTACTCATGAATTTTAAATGCCGAGGAGAATCAGAGTAATCCATCACACAAGCAGATTTCTCCAGGGCTGAAACATGTGGGCATAATAAAAATATATAAGATCGTACTCACGTTGCACGTGATACTGTACACTCAGGCACGCATGCACGCACGCACGCACTCACGCACTCACGCACGCACGCACTCACGCACGCACGCACGCACGCACCCACGCACACAGTGACACACACACACACAGTGAAGAACGTACGCACTACGCACGCATGCATGCGTACACACATACTCATGCGTCCACTCACACATGTCGCAAATGATATTCCATTGTAAACTGGAATTTTAATGGCAGCTGGAATGAACAGCTAGAGAAAAATGGTCCAAGCATTCTTAGTGGGGCTGAGAGTGTCTATGTCCCTCAGGGTACTCCGGTATACCGGAACGTACCCTGGAACTATTTAATATGCCGGACCGTACCTCGCCTACTCCACTAACGAGTCTAGTAGTCTATAGGGAATCGCCTACGCCTACTACTCCCTAACCCTAACCCTAACCATATCAAATAGTTACCAGGGTACGTTCCGGTATACCGGACCGTACCCAGGATACGTTCCGGCAGTACCCTGGGGGACATAGACCTTATGAGCCTTAGTGGGCACCTAAATAGAACGTTCACCTCTCTATAGAGATAAAGGACAATCGAATTAGAGAGTCCCAGTTATACAGTGTATAACCACGTTTATCGAACGAACACCAGTCCATGAATGACAATTTTCTTCCTCTAAGCTCTACAGCTATTTAAGTAATATTTTTTAAACATGTAGTGAACATGTTAATTTTACTGCTAACAAGTGCCGCGGAGCAGCAGTGCTGATCTGAGAGCTGCCGCTCTGCTGATAAACTCTAAATTGCAGTCATGTATATATAGCAACACGTATTTTAGTTTTAAATGTGTTCACAACTTCACATATGACCTGAAACATGACTATCGGGGGGATGGTATCAGGGGTAGTGTCAGACCTTGCACACAATCTTGCTGAGGGTCAAGCGGTCAAAAGCCAGCTACTTTTTGCGCATTGATCAGTAGAAAGTACATTTCATATAGCCCTTTGAATAAACTCACAAGTGCCGCGGAGCGACAGCGCTCATCTCACGTCTACTGCGGTGACTCTGTGGTGGAGTGGTGGGGATTCTAGTAAACCCTGTTAGTCCCAAATGTGTTCACATACGCGCCGAAACAGTGGAAGGCACAGGAATGGTATCAGGAACCTTCTCGAAGAAATGTTCGTTGGGATCGTTATGAAAGTTGCCACGAGATGGCGCGTACGTTTAATTGTCTTAAGATTAAAGATGGAAGCTCCCATCGTACGTAGTAGCAACAACTATTTGCAAGACAGAATAGGTAAGCACCTCATCCATTTACCTACGCAAGCCCACAGGCTGCAATAGAGAGCTGCCACCTGTGACAAATTAACGCAGGCAAAAACTACACAGTACCACCGCCACTGGCAGTGGCATACGTTACATGTAACATACTGACAGTACAGAATGCCATAGAAATTATACGATTTAAGG